CTGTAGTAGCGGTATCCCTTGAAATCGGAACTCTTGTAAACTATTCATAGTTTGCTGTTCCTCTTAGGTAGCGAAGGACCCTCAGTCCTTCACACCATCTCTTCTTTGTTGGATGCTCTAAGAAGCGCGATAGATAACCAACGATAAATGAGATGTCCGGTCTGGTACCTAACTGCAGATACATGAGACTTCCGATGAGTTCTCGATAGGGTATATCCTCGAGTTCCTCAGTCTCATCGAGGGAATATATGTCTCTGTCAGCTGGTGTTGAACAGGGCTTGCAATTCGTCATATCGAAACGTTTGGGAATATCAAGGGTGTAGCGTTCTTGACGCGCGACCACGCTCATGTCATTCGTTCTGTGAATTTGTATCCCGAGAAAGTGATCAAGCGCTTTATCCGTAATCTCTAGATGCTGTTTTAATTTAGTCAGGAAATCGAGTATTGATTTCTCCGCACGTCCCGCCAGAATTGCATCATCGACGTATGAACACACGATTATTCTGTCCTTATTGTCACCGTAAAAAACACATGGTTCGGCGAGACATTGTCTAAGTAAGTCCTGGACCAAGGACTATAAATTTGATCTTCATATGGAAGCATCGAGGGGCCTGACGACTCCCGTAGAGAGCCTTGTTAAGTCTACATGCTCGCGGAGTATCGTTGAAGCCCTCCGGTTGGTCCATATATATATTTTTCTTCTTTCAAGGATCACACGATCGATTCTCACTTAAATTAGAGATTTATTTTAATGAGTCGATTGAAACGGCATTCAACAACGATAGTATCGGTGGTGTGATACGTAAGCATGAGAGCATTTACCTTAAATTAGAGAATCGATTTTCACGTGGTGAATCCCGCTCTTGGAGAACGCAGAATGGCTAGAGCTAGATTCTCCTAGCTCTGGAGAGCAACGTGGCGGCAGTTTTCGAAAGGCGCCCTCTCTCAATATCGGCAGGGAGCAGGGACGATATTACATATGACGCGTTGGTCGGCAGACCCCTTTTAGTCCTTTCAGCAGGTTTCGAGAAAACAGCGTTTTAATCCTGGACGCGACTGTAGGCGCTCAATAGCGATGATTCTTTCGAAACAGATAATTCATGAGCTCGGGACCTGGATCCACTGAACTCAGAAAATCAGTGACGAGCGTCAATCCTCCGATTAGGAGTTCTCAATCCGTCCCAGCTTAGCGCGTCCGACGCTCGCAATAGCGCGCCATGGTGGCGGCGGCATCGTCGGGGGTCCCGAGTTCATCCCCGCGGCCGGCCGATAATTGTCGCCGGGAAATGAGGGTCTTCATTGAAGAAATGTGGTTCTGGTATAGGAGGGGATTCAAAGATAAGCATCTGCGCTGGTTCCTCTCCCGCCACTGTTGATGCTACAGCGAGGACAAAGATCGCAACATAAAACGCGACTAAAGTCCGACCCTGCTGATCCTCATGTATAAAGCCCGTATGTTCAAGCAAGAAGCTTATACTGCTTATCCAAGCAAGTAGGGTAAGCGAACCACTTATGGGACGCTTAGGTACTTTTACACTGGAGGCTACCTCCTTTTCGATGACCAGTCGCGGGACACTCTTGACCATTTACGGTACTTTTCGCTACCGGGCCGTTTGGGAATTAATACCTTTGACCAATTATGAGACGTTCCGCGACTGGCTATGGGACGTTCCGCCACCGGCAATGGGACGTGCCATAATAAGATCCCGGTCTGGATGATACAGGAGGAGCAGGAATCATCAATAACCCCGGATCGTATGCGTCTGGCGAGACTCTCAGAGACTACACTTCAGGCATGAGCGAAATAGACTTTCATACTTGAACCTTTCTGGAGAGACTTATGGAATGTGTTCGGGACCTCGCCACTCTCCCTGCTGATTCTGGAAGAGGTTGAGCTGTTCCGCGGTCATACGCTCCTCCAGCTCAACAATGAACGGCATCAAGGGCTCGGCTCGCGCAGATGTATCGGCTTGCGCAGATGACCCGGCTTGCCTAGAGGACCCTGCTTGCCCCGATGGCCCGAGCGAGTCCGCGGGCCCCGCGAATGAGCAACATTTCAAGTAATCCACGGCGTTCGGGTTCCAACCGGTTTTCCGGAATCCATTCATCAGCCACGAGGCATCGAACGCTCCAAAAGCCTGCTGGATGAGTATCAAGAACTCCTCTATCCCCATTGAGCGACCACCATTCTTGACTCTCCAATCATTGCCTATTTTGCGCCAGGCATTCTTTACCGCTCTGAACACCGCTACGTCCAGAGGCTGTAGGATGTGTGTAGCATTCGGTAACAGAGGGAGTAGGATGATGCCATTAGCGTCGCAGTAAGTCGTGACCTCCATGGTGAGATGCGACC